CCAAGAAATGACTGCCAAATCCTGCCACCATTTTTTTTAATACCCAGACTATTAAAAGAAAAACTTCAGCTGAATTGAATTTAAAGGAGCTTAATTTAGTAACGAATGATTGAATCAGGCAGCCCCCAGAATCACAGCAGATTCAGAGAATCTTCAGGGATGCCTCGTGGTCAGAACAAATTTATAGACAAAAAAACGGAAGTGGCATATAGAAATCAGAAGTGAGATACAGAAACAGCTGAATTGGTTACAGGTTGTCATTTACCTTATTTGAACACAGTTTGAACACTCAGAAGTGTAAGACTGGTTGAAGTATGGCTTATGGCATTGGCCATGACTCAGCTATTGTTACAGGCACATACTCCTAAGTTCGGGTTTCAGTCTTGTCTACCCACTAAGTTGGGTTGCAGTTCACCCACAAGGACTCAAATGTAGAAGTACAGAGTCCTTCTCAGGCCATATTTAGTTTGCTTTAACACTGTTGACCCTGGGCCAGGGAGCTATTCTGTAGCAGGTGAGTTTTTCCTTACTTCTCCAAGTTAAAGCACACTCTGACGTACTTCACCACCAATTTTGTATTGTTATAAAATACAAGTAATATAAAATTTTACCATTTTAGCTATTTGTAAGTGTACACTTCTGTGGCACTAAGCACATTGTCATTGATGTGCAGCTGTCATCATATCCACCTCCAGAATTTTTTCATCTATCCCAACTTTATATCCATTAAACACAAATTCCCCATTCTTCCCTCCCCTCACTCTGGCAACCACCATTCTACTTTCTATCTTCATGAATTTCCCTCATGTAAGTAGAATCACACAACATTTGTTCTTTTGTGACTGGCTGATTTCACTTAGCATAATGGCCTCAAGGTTGTAGATAAAAGTCATCAAACTCTGTAAAATATTTGAAGAGATTTATTCTGAGCCAAATATGAGTGACCAATGGCCTATGGCACAGCTCCAGGAGATTATAAGAACATGTGCCCAAGGTGGTCAGGCCACAGCTTGGTTTTATACATTTTAGGGAGATATAAGACATCAATCCATACACATAAGATGGGCATTGCTTCCGTCTGGAAAGGGGGAACAACTGGAAGTAGGGGCTTCCAGGTCATGGGCGAATTCAAGCTTTTCTGATTGGCGATTGGTTGAAAGAGTTATTATCTAAAGACATAGAATCAATAAAAAGGAGTATCTGGGTTGTGGAGACCAAGGTTCTATTATGCAGATGAAGCCTCTGGGTAGCAGGCTTCAGAGCTCTCCTCAGACCTAAAAAGGTACCTGAGTCTTAGTAAATTATCTCCTGGATCAGGGAAAAGACTTGGAAAAGGATGGAGATTCTCTACAGAATGTAGATTTTCCCCATAAGAGACAGCTTTGCAGGGCCATTTCAAAATATGTAAAAGAAATAGGCCAGGTGTGGTAGCTCACACCTGTAATCCCAGCACTTAGGTAGGCTGAGGTGGGAGGATCATGAGGTCAAGAGATTGAGACCATCCTGGCCAACATGGTGAAACCCTGTCTCTACTAAAAATACGAAAATTAGCCGCTGAGATCATGCCACAGTATTCCAGCCTGGTGACAGAGCAAGACTCCATAGAAAGAAAGAAAGAAAGAAAGAAAGAGAGAAAGAGAGAAAGA